ATGCATAAAAGTAAGAAGAAAATTTTCATTACCCGTCATTTTTGACGGGCTATCTACTAGTATATAAATAGATGAGTTGTTAATTTTAATCATGTTTAACATCTGGATAATTTATAAAATATTATCATTTAAATAGATGAGTCTGATGATAAAATGTAATGCTAATATTAATTATTTATTTTAATTTATAATATATTCTAATCAATTCAATTTTTCTTTTACAAATTATAATTTAAAATATATATTACAAAACAAATAAGTATATATTAAAAATGAATTAAAAAAATATATATGTATAGAAAAGAACTGAGAAAAAAAAATTAAAAAAGGGTACAAATCACCCTAGGGAAGAGAATCTGCTGACGAAGGTAAAATCTTTCATTGGGGTCCCCTGAGATCTGCCTCTTTTTTTCCTATAGTTTTAATGAAATTAAGAGCATCACTTCCGAACATGATTAGGGTATTGGTAACGATTGGAATAAACACGGTGTTGGTGAGGCAAGCATATTTGTTTTTTAGGCGGCTTTTTCGATGGCAGAAAATGAGTGGTTGGACTTGGCGGCAAAATCGACACAGGTTAGTCCCAAGCGAGTGGGAGAGCATTGGTTCAGGGAATGGGAGATATGTTTCGTTTGAGAGGCCCACAGGTTAGAGGGTGGATGGAATATTAACTTTTTTAAGAGCAGCTAGGATAATGTTGTTAATAGATTTATGATGCGGTTGTCGTCCATGAGAGAACATGTTGTACAAGGGATGGTAAGCTTATGGGCCGTTGATACATAACATGTTGACGGGTCAGAAAATCAATTTTCACATTGATCGAGCTCAAAAACTATTATATATAAAGCTTTGATTTTAATTTCATTTTAAAGATTAAGGATTGGGCTACACATTGGTATTTTTCTTTCTAAATGTTTCCCCGTTTTGTTTGATTATAAAACCTTCCGTACATCTTACAATAAAATTTAAACCCTGTGTTAATTTTTATCAAGATTAAAATATTTTGCGAATTCAGAAAAAGCAAATTCCATATTATCATCATTTCCAGGGAAATTACTTTGTTTATATGATCTTTACCGATATTATCTTCAATATCAATTTCTAACGTCGGCATTTTAAATTATTTTGAAAACTAGATTTATAATGCAGATTTTTAAATATAAATTTCAAAATGAAATAAAAAATTGATTTTTAGCACTTTTTATGTATTTATAATATAATTGAAATTCGCTACTTTCTAAATTTGTAGCAAGCTACTGATACCGCTATTTATTTTTTTAAAGTAGCACGAAAGCTACCCCTTACTGAAAAAAGTTGCATTACTTGTCACGCAAAACTGCTATCGAGGTCATCTCCGATAAATTTGATTTAAACTCCCATTATAGTACAACTTATACCCTTTATTTAGCTCTTTCACGCTGTTCCTAAATTACATTGTATACCCCCCCCCCCCGTCCCAAGCCAAAAAATTTATATGCCAGCTACAATATTTTCCAAAAATATTACTGTTTTATGATTATTAATTTATATTATATAATCATTATTACCTTTTATCGCATATATATAAATAAATAAGCTACTTCTTTATTCTATGAATTAATATCAATTTCAAAATTTTCTTGGCGTTATATTTATCTACCATTTTATATTTTCCACCAAATCATTTAAAACTTTTCACTGCAAAATTGAAATAAAATATTTCAAAATTGAGACTATGTGAATAGCTGAAAGCATTATATTGAAACATAAAGAAATTAGGGCAAATGTAGATGACAAATTTCATAAATTATATGTGTTGAGTCAAAAGCTGAGTTCTATGAATTTAACATTTGTCTATCTCTACTCATAGCAAGACAAGCCCATCGTTCCAACTATAAAATAAATCTTTTTACCCCCCTCTTGGATACTTTTATCTTAAATGAATGAAAAGTTCTTGATTAATCAGGTAGCACTTATCAATCTGCAGATTTTATTATTTGAGAATCCTTTCCAAATCTATTTCAAATCTTAATATAGAAAAAATTAAATATAGCAGATTTTTATTGTGAGGTGTTAAAATATCAAAATATCCTATGATACATTAATAGATGTATAAAAGGTTAATTATGGTTATAATTTTTCTTAGTATATTAAAGTTATTATATATTTTAACAACTCCACAAAACCAATGAAAAAATTTCTTCCTTAACAATAATAAAAATATTTAATTTGAGTCGATTTTTAAAAACGGCTAACTCAATATTTAGCCAGAAAAATATTGCCTAAACATCGAGATTTCGTTTATATATGACCAGGCGCGTATGCAGGAATTTGGTCTTGGGGGGGGGGGGGGGGTAATAAATTCTTTTAAGAAATATTATTGTTATATCAAGCATAAATTTATTAGGACTAATAACTATTCCTAATACACAATTTTAAATTAATGTGAATTATAAAAAAATTATATGTAAAGAATCACTTAAATGACCCAAAATAGAAATTTGAATTTTTTGAGCCTTTGCACAAAAAGTTTATTAGAAATAATTGTATTTTGTATGTTATATATTTACAATGTAAAATCCAATCTTCGTTGGGATTGAGCTAATTTTTCGATTATCTCATCCTTGCTTGTCGTCAAATGCCTATGAATATTCAAAAGATCCAAACCTTTCAATCTACTTTCACATGTTGTACTTCTTGGTATGTTTTTCAGAGACCTGCAGGCCCGGCCCCTGGACCGGACAGTATTTTAATTTTTTTAAATATACCCGGGCCGGGCCCGAAATTTTTTTAAAAAAAAACCCAAGCCGGGCCTGAATTATTTTAAAAAAAACACCCAGGCCGGGCTGTATTTTTTAAAACAGCCTATATTATAAATCGTTATTATTAGCTATAAAAATCAAAAATAAATATAATTTATTTAAAAAAATCCAGGCCGGGCCTGAAAAATTTATTTTAAAAAAAGCCGGGCCGAGCCTGAAAATTTAAAAAAAAAGCCGAGCCGGACCTAAAAAATTTTTTTTAAAAAGCCGGGCCGGGCCTGAAAATTTTTTTAAAAAAACCCAGGCCGGGCCGTAAAAAATCTTTAAAAAAAATCCGGGCCGTGCCCTGCAAATGGTACTTCTGCCAGCCTCTGTTATTCTTCTTAAAAAAGAGATTGTTCTCTCATTAGTTTACAAATGGGAAGAGTTTATAAACCCTTTTAATACATTGGGAATTTAATCTAAAATATGTTTGAAATAATGCAGAGCATCCATAGCATTTTTTGGGACTATATCAACTATAGTTAATCTTATAAACATAGTTATTCAGCTAGTAAGGCATCATAAGATACTTTAACATCTTCATAATAAAAATCTAACAAATATTTTTTTTTCTATCACCATCTGAAAAAGGTTGGGGAAGGCTTTTGTGGAAGTAATATTTGCAGATGTAAGTGCTGCATGATGAATTAAAAATTCATTTATTTGGGTTATAAATGTCTCTGCATCTAAGATATACTCTTCTACTGATTCTTTATTAATGTTTTAACGATGAGCTTGCCTTGCTACAAGTCGAGGGAGACAAATATTAAACACGTATAGCTCTGCTTTTGACTCAACAATAAAATATGAAATTCTTCATCAACGCCCTAATTTCCTTGAGTTCTGATAAAATGCTCTCCGCTATTCTCATCTTCTTAATCAAATCAATGTCATGTTTTTGAATAGTAATACTTAAAATAGTTGTATAATTAAATAATACATTCTAATGAAAAATAAAATTTGGAATAAGCATTAAATCCAATAATTTTCTTGCTTCTGAGGAAATATTTCTTTCAGGCCATTTCAGTAATAGCAAATAATTGGCTCTTCTAACTCCTTAATAGCTGTTAGTGCTTGATGGAAGAGGCTCTATCTCGTTGGACAAGGTTGCAATTTCTTTTTCCCTATTGGACCAGTAGTTTCAGAAATAATTATTATTTGACTAGAAATTTGAAAATGGTAGATCAATATTACGCCACTAAAAATTTGAAAATAATAAGTAAATATTACGCCGGAAAACTTGAAATCGAAATTAATTGATAAAATAACTTGTGAATGTGATAATAAATGTAATAAATTATATAATTAATATAAACAATAATATTTTTGAAAAATATATCCGGCATCTGCATTTTTTGGCTTTGGGGGGATTTGCTCCCCCCCCCTCCGCTGCGTACACCAATATATATGACCAAGCATTTGTGTCATTTATGAGCATAATCTTCAGGTTTGCGTAAAATTTTTCTGAATAAAATATTGAGTTAACTGTTTCTGAAGACCGGCTCTAATCGAGTTATTCAACAACACTACTGAGAAATACTACCTCTGAAAATAGATATAATGGATTAGCCCTTCTTAATATACATAAAAGTTGAAACCAAGCACGGATGAAATTATTGAAAAATTAGATCAATCCTAAAGAAGATTGAATGTCACATTATAAATGATAATATACTTCATTATATTTTTTCCCATCTTCAATTCACCATTTTTAATAAATATTTGTAAGTTTATGTACATGCAAATATCTTAAGAATATTTTTGTGCATTCATCGATATTTCCAACATTTATTTTTTTATAGTATAAATTTATATATCAAATTTTAAATGCTTAAAAAATTTATGTTTTTTTATTAGTTCATTTGACTTTTATTTTTTAGTGATCATTCGATATGCCACAATATACATTAAATAGTTTATGATTAATTTATATTTTAATTTGTGTATTAGAAATTATCAATATTTTGTAGTCACTATTCCTAATTTCCCAAAACGAATGTGCTAGATGGCGTTATGAATTCAACAATAGCCATGGTTTTTAATCAGGTTTGAGCGAGTCCATATCAAGTTTTTTGAACCGAACTCTTGAATTTTTTTGTTTGCATTTTATAGGATCAGTTATAATATTTTCTGAAAAATAATTATTATATTAATTGATACAAAATATTATAACAATCCGATTTATATGTTTAAAATGATAAAATATATTATATTAAGGAAGGAATTACGTAGTCCATGATGGTGATATCATTCATTTCAAATTCAATGCAGGTGCGGGACTCTCAACTTCTAAGAAATGAATGTGTCTTATCTTTTATTGTATTGTGAATATTTTACGATTATGAATAAATGCGCTGTTCAAGTTTGTATATTTTACGATTATGAATAAATGCTCTGATCAAGTATTGTATATTACATATCAATCATCTTTTCAATGAAATGGACACTTAGGATAATGTCTTTAATATAAATAAAGATTTATATATTAGCTAATGGGCAATTATTTATTTTTTTACAATTTTAACTAAATTTTTGTTAACTTACTATAGATATTTTATACCAAGGCCACTTCTAAACAACTCGTTTATTCAGCATTTTTATTTTTTTTGCCTAATATAAATTTTTCGCCATTTAATTGTTAATAAAAACCATTAAAAATATTTTATTAAGCAAAAATTAATTCGAAATTATTATACTATGTTTGAAAATAAAAAAAAGTCTGAAAACATGCCTGGCAGTGGCGTAACTAGGAATTTTTCTTAGGATGGGGGGGGGGGTATACCTCTAAAAGGCCCCCAGTAATAATCCTTCTGCCGGGTTTATTTTATAAATCATATACTTTTTCCTTATAAAATTTTTAGCAATATTATTGTTCATTTTAATTAAAATTACAAATTCGACATTTAATAAAAATTTTTAGATTAACATTTCAAATTATGTTTTTTAACTATTTTATAGGTCAAATGTAATATAACTAATATAAAAAAATTAGGTACAAAATGATTTTCCTCGGTGTTATGAATATATGTGGTATTCTTTATTAAAAGCAAATATATATAGGTAGTTTTACATTCTTTTAAAAAAATTTAAAGACATGAGAAAATTATATTTAAATGAGTTGTTATTTTATTTATAATTTTAAGTTGAGATTTGGGTTGGTTGATTTCTAAATAAGAAATCAATTTATTAATGAAATAAAATCGATTATTTTTCATACAAATACTATTTGCTTTGATTATAAATGATATATTTCAGTAATAATTATTTAAACATAAATTTTATAAATTAATAATAAATTATTATATTGTAAACAAAATCAGTATGAGATTATAGTGATTTTTAATATAAGCGATGTATAAATTTTATGGTTGCTTTTTTGAAATAAAATACATTTAGTTAAAAATTGATAAACATAATTTTATTGATGATAACAACTGTTGACAAGGGGGGTTGGTAATAAAAAGTTAAAATATTTTTCAGGTGTATCAAAATATATATTAAGATGTACTGTCATAGATATCATCCAGACTAAAGTTGTTATATTTGAGAAAAAATACAATCTTCTTACTTAACTAATTTAATGCTAGAAGAATAATTGAAAAACAGCTTTCTAATAAAAATTATTTAAGAATTTTACATAAATTATTACTAATTTAACAAACATAAAAATAAATATATGTATAAATTTTTTAATGAAATTATCGCAAATTTATTTAATAACACAACTTTAGTATAAAGTCAAAAATGATTATAAAATTACAAAATAAGTTATAATTTTCACAATTATTGGAAAAAATATAATATTAGTAATTCACAATTATATACTCGTTAATTCTTGCTGTTGTTTATTGATTGCCAAGTTCCTTTTAGCGTCAGCGTGATAATTGGGAGCTAAATAGCCTAAGTCTATTATCCTATGCATAGAATGTTCAATCAAGGGGTTTAGGTCATTGAGAGTATAAAGCTGAGATAATTGGACTTTATTATGTTTGGGGCTAACCTTTGACGTGGGTAGAATTCCTCGTTGGGATATCGCTCCTAGCAGATATCCGGTGCCTCAGCTCTTTAAAAAAAGCCAGGGCATGAGAGCCGAACGATGTTAGAGTCTGGCGATAAGTGGTAGGAATTTATAGTTAGCAAGAAGCGATGGCGAATATTTAGCAAGTTTATTCGTCTCGGCGTTTAGTATAGCACCTCTTAATATATAGGAAGGAGCAAGAGGATCGATGCATGAGAAATCCCAGGTTAGGAATTCCCCTCTTCCAAGGGATCATGGTAAAACTATCAGGCCGCTTATCATTGGAATTGTAAAGACCAGTAGGTTCGAGGGTTGATTTGATGGGATGCCGGCAGATTTTTAGGCCCTGACAATAGTATCATTGCATTTTGAATGTCTAGTAAATCTGCCTCTACAGCGCTGCAGTGCAAAGAATGACGGCCTTTGTTGATCGATGTTTGCCAGAGGATACAGTGATAGGGTATCACCATATTACAATTTAATCCAAGACCGATGGCGTGACGTGCTCATCATTTATTAGGAGCTGGTCAAGGTTTCGCGATGGGAAAACTTCAATAAATTCGTACCCGCTGTCTGCGGAAATGGAGAAGAGTAGAAAATGGGAATTGGCTACTCGATTTAAGGTATGCAATGGAGTTGCCAACTAGAGGCTTATCCCAGTCCTTCTTTAGTGCCTATGAGGGAGGATCGACTAAAAGAGACTTCCATAGATCAATTGCCTGCAGAGGCAAGGGGTCAGGATGTGACAGGCGAGAGGATATGAACGCACTAAAGGAAAGTAGGGAGGGCGACCTTATGCCAATGCCACCGGATTTGGTTGGTAAGGTAGCCTTTAACCAAGATAGGTTTCTGAATTTAAGATTGAGTATATCTTCTGTGAGACGTTTCTCATGCGCAGCGAGTTTGACATCATATTAAAAGATTCGCGACGATCGGAGTGTATATAAAATTCTCGGAATTAGAAGATAGTTCTTCAATAGGAAGAAAGCTTGGAGGCGGGATAGTGTATCGCGCATGAGGGATATCTCGTGAAATATCGACAAGGAACTTGATAAAGGACTATTCTTTATCTACTGGAAATACGAGATGTGTTAAAGAGTTCAATGGTGTATGATTAAACATAAGATCGCGATTAAGATCAGTGATCCCTAGGGAACAATATTCGCTCTATCTTAATTGCAGTCCCAAACTGCTCTCGCTGGATTTTATTATCTTGATTGCCTTCATCACTTCATCCGGTCGGCCGCCTAGTTTACCATCTACGATATACCAATTATGAAGATTTAGCTAGCATTGGCCATGCCTCGCATCAAGCTATTAATGTCCAGATAAAACAAAAAGGAGCCTTGAGGGTCACCTTGTTGTATCTCATCTTTAGAAGGAATCAGTTTATCTCCAGAAGGGGCTAAGGACTAGCATAACATTCGAAGATAAATTGTGAGCATTCTGGAGAGGGTGAGGATAGGATTTAGAAACGCTCTAGACCCTAGAGTTAAATGCGTTCGAAAAATCTATTTTAACTAAGATATCGTCGCTGGGGTCTGTTTGTAAATACATCCATGCAAAGGGATAACTCACATCCACCTTTTACGTTGACGCCTAATTGATTCAGACACAGGTGATTGAATATTGTGAACAATATTCTGCTTACTACTAGCTTGGCGGTTAATCGGCGCCAAGTAGTTTCAATATCGATTATGTATGGATGCCAGTCCTGCTTTTTATTGTTTATTATAATGAAATCTTATTGGAGTAAAAAACTCTGCCTGCTCTTCTAAATAAATTAATTTTAAATCGCGTTTGAAGGAGAAAATAGCCTTTTTAACGCCGCTTCTGGTATAAGTGGCTAATTAGAGGAGCTCCGGGGTAAGACGATGTTTCATCTTTAAGATCATGTGAGTAAAAGTTGTTTGATCGTAGGGAGCCATCTTATTGTCGGAAGTTGCCAGGCATATGGCGGATTTAACATTTAGGTTGTCCAGTTTTTTAGAAATTAGCCTGGCCTTGGTGAGTAGGTCATTTTTGTGATTTTTATTTATCTGTATCATCACTCTTAAAGGATGTTGAAATATGATAAATGGGTAAAGAGTCGATAGTTACATCCTTAATTTGCTGTGTTAGAGATTTTTTGCTGGCAGGATCTGGAAATTGTAAAGTAGTAAGTGCAAATAACAGGGTGTCTAGCGTTTTTCAAAAGAATAATTATTTATCAAGGAAGTCAAGTTTTTTGACAGTCTCGCAACCTGAAACTTACTTACTAGGTATTCGTGAAATGACAAATGGTTATGGTGTCATTAATAATATTTCTACATCTATGGAGTCGGATGGATCAAACCAGTGGCGTCGCTAGGAAAGGGCGCGCAGGCTCGAGCCCCCTGAAAAGTTTGAATAGCCCCCTGAAGCAAAAAAAAATATCCCCTTGAGCTAAAAATAAATGTTTTTAATTGCCCTCTGAATAATTTCTTTTATAATTCTATTGAGTAATATATAAATTTAATTTTATTAAAAAATTAATAACACTATCTTAATTTTTATATACTATTTTAATTATTAGATTAGATTATTACATATAAATTATACTATGTCAGCTTGCAATCAAATTCTATGTTAAAAATATAACAATATCACTCACTAAATATTAATTTAGCATTAATAGTTGAAGCATAATTATATAACCCTAATTAAATAAATATAATCATTTATTAATTGATTCATAATTTAATATTTTAGCCGAGTTCAAAATCACTAATCAACTATATTATTGATTTTTAAAATTAATTATCATGTCTCTTCCTAAAATTATTTTCAAGGTTCAAATCCAAATTAGTATAAGAGATTTATTTATAAAAAGTAAGTAGACATATAGTTTATAATCCTCTATTATATAAATTTTTTTATAAAATATAAGGTAAAATGCCACTTTTACAGATGTATCTGACAGTTATATAATATATTACAGTTAATTTTTAAAATTTTACTAAAAAATGCTTTTGATAATAAATATAAGTAACAATTTGCTTACAAATATTTAACGCCATCTATTTATTTACAATATAATTAAAATTAAGCGTATTATTATTCATCCCACAATGGATGTAATAAATTAGATATCTTTTCTTCTCTTTTTTACTGTTTTTAGTTTTTTTCTTCTTCGGAATATAGATTTGAGTTAAATTTTTAATACGAATATATTTTTAATATTATTACAAACTACTATTATCTTAAGATATAATATACCAACTAGATATGGTGCGACAATAATATATAAAATCTTAATTGCTTTCATGATATCACTCTGGTTCTTATTTTGTAGTTATAAAATGTTCCATTTCTAATATGGTATTTTTGCCGTGTAAA